TCTCTTTACCTCCAATTCCCCAAGAACCCACAGCTGCTGGATTAGAGGTGTTAGAGAGTACATCTGTGCCAGGTCTGTGTACACCTTTATCATTCTTGGGTTTGCTGCTCTTCTGAACAGGAGTGGTGATTTTCCTCAATAATCAATGCAGATCCTAGGCATTTGTAATTTTCTTCTTAGGCACATGTTTCAAATCACTGGAGAAACATACTCAGAGGAATATTGTGTTTTGTTGGGTTTTATTACCCTGACCAACCGTGGAGTTTGTTACAAACAACAATAAATTAGTAAGGATATACTATATCCATATTGCCATCCTTTGCAAAATCCCATATAAAAACACTCAAATTGTCCTTCTTAAAAGTAGATACGTGTTTCCTTGAAAATGAGTCTACAGAGATTGCTTTTGCCCACTCCAGCTGTTTCACAAATAAGTTTGTTTGTAAGGACATGGAAAAAACTATTGACATCCTATGACCTTCAGAGGCTGGGCAGGACTTATACCTGACAGGTCTTTGTGTGCTTTCTTGCCAGATATTCATCCTATTGAAGTCTTTCCTGGGTTGACCACCTGGCTGATTGTTGACAGACAGACCAGTTATATGTTTCTTTCCTGACATGTCACATATCCATAATAGTCACTTTGGTGTTTTTTAAGCCCTGTTTAAGCAACAGAATGGAAGTGGTGTCTGTGGCAGCAGCTGCTCTGTGAGCAGTATGTTGTAGAATAGTAGAGGTTATGTGACTTCTGTCCACCTGCTTTGAAAATGAATCCTAACTGTACACACAGTTTTCTCACACCCCTCCAATTTCTTTGAAGAAACTCATGTATGTGCTGGGTTTTCTTTTCTTCTGCCCATGCTCTTCATTATATACAGTGGTTAACTCTGGGTGACAGTAAACAATTACCGTCTGCTTATGTGAAACGTGTTACTCCTTGCTTTGAAGGTATTCTCCTGTTAGTGTTGAGACAAGGTAAAAACAACTTTTAATAGATCTGTAAACTGTACATACTTTTTGAAACAGTTCTTTCTTCACCCTTTGGCTACATTTCTGGTACAAAGCATGTTGTCATTGAGTCTTTTTCATATTAATAAATAGATTTCAGCTCATCAGTGAATTTTTCCTGAAAAACTGTGAAATAGATTTGTCTGTGTAATAGCATCTGCAAATCCTCCAATCAGATACACAGTTTTATGCTTAATAAAGTGCTTTTTCTGGCATGAGATTTAGAGTTCAACTGGTACTATGGTATGGTTCAACTATGCTGTCAAAACACTACATTCCTACAGAAATTTAACTGCATATACTCTAGGCCTTTTGTTATTGTAGATGTCACCAAAAAAACCCTACAGCTGTAATGCACTCTGCTGTCTCAGTACACAGATCTCCCATGGAGCCGTTCTGAAACACTGGCATATAGAGAAAAGGACTTCCAAAGGAATCATTGTAATGCAAAGAAGGCAGGATATTTGAGTTTATAATGCATGAATTTTTCTGATGGGCTACACTGAGGTTGGAGGGTGGTCTGCTGACTTACCAAATGTGTGGGTGTGTTTTCTGTTTTGCAGTGCATGAGAGTTTTCAGTCTAGTAAAATTTTTCTGTTTATAGAAATAAATGGTTGTCACTTCTGTAATTACAATTAAGTAGCAGTTAATGCTTGCTTTGTCCAACACTTGTGGCTGACTGCAGTTCACATCTATGAAAGTTTTTTGCATGTTGCTTTTTTCTTCTTTAGTCCATAATGGAGGACTTTGAATTGCTCATTTGTAAAAGCTCAGTGCTTTTATTAATGAAGGTGTTAACAATCTTTTCAGCATAAAACACAGGCAATAGAGTCCTTTCATGTGTGCATTTGAGTGAATATTTTAAATTCTCTTATTTCTTTGCTAGGGAAGTGTTCTCTGTAGCATTTAATTTTTTAATATGAAAAACTATTAGCTACGAGCTTAATTGAAGCATCATGAGTCAGATGATAACAAAATAGGGTAAAATGCAACAAATATAATTGCTTGTCTGCTGTTTATAGATTATCTAAAGAGCAACCCTGAAGTTGACACTGAGTTTCTGAGTGGCAACTGTGAATTTGACAATTAACTTGTCCATTGCTGAAAACTGTTGGCATCAGCAACTGTTGGCCCACTCAGGAAAATGGTATTGCCTGGTCTATCTGGTTTCCATTTTAGCCATTATCACCACTTCTGCTGTGTTGAAAACTGTTCTAAATGAAAACTTCAGTTTTTCTAAAATTTGTATCTTGCTTCAAAAGTAATTTTTTCTTTTCACTCCCCAGTGTTTCCTGCCCCCCTCCTTCTCCATGGTGTTTCATGTTTAACATTCAGTCAAGAGTACAGAATACAACTGAACATGTTACAAAGGGTATTTTGAGTAACCTTTACTTAAGATTGTAAACTCTGAATGATCGCTATAACCACACTCATAAAACAATGAACTTTCATAAAATAAAAATTAAACATAAATAAAATGTACATCTCACAAGGATGGACCTTTTCGTTCTAAGGTATATCAGCTGGGTTATAACTGGCTCTAGTTAACACACTGTATTCAGCTATAAAAATTCTTTCACCGTGAAGCTCCATGACACTCAAAGGTGTGAAATTTCTTCCTACCTTTGAAAACATCAAACAAATTGTTTCCAGTCTAGCTTTTACAACTGGAAGTTCAGTGATTGGTGAAGGAAAGGGGCAGATACGTCAACAAGCATGAAAAATACTGGTCTCAGGCTGGAAGAGACTCATAAAGAGTTAATTGGTCCAACCAGATTTCATTGTCTATACTTAAAATATATCTACATGTATCAACACCAAATGCCAATTATATTTTCAGCAATATGTAAGTAAAATGGTGGACTTAAGTAAATGTGATCAGAATCAGCTTGAAGATTTCTTAGTTGCCTGTTAAGCTGTGTGATGATCCTGATGTCTTTTGATTTCACACTGAAAAACTGGATTGTGACAGGTTAGCTGTGATCACATACAGGTTACAGTGCATTAATTTTTTTATCCTGTTATATGTGTTCATAAAATATTTTAATCTATTTGAAGGATCGGAGGTATGTGATATATCTGTGCAGCACAACTACATGAAATTCTGAAATACACATGGCAGTGCCAGTTGGTTGCTTCTCATTATCATGGGCAAAATGTGGTTGAACATGTAACTGAAACCGCATCTCATCATTTTTATTATCAACACTCATTTTCAATTGCTTGTAAGTTTTTTCCAAGCTGTACCATGCAACTTTTCAAAAGTGTTTATTTGTAAATAAGATTATCAATACTACAGACAAAACAGCCCAATTTAAAGCAAATTGTAGAATCATTCTAGTTTCATGTTCTTGTTAAAACACATTTAAAAACATGATGGTAGCTTAATGTGCAATATGAAGTGGTTTTGTCCTAATTCAAGGCAGCTCGCTACAAATGGACTTCTATAAGTAGGTAATTTCCGTGAATTGACAACATAATAAGGATGCAGGTCATGGTTCCAGCAGAAGATAGACACGGAAGCTAGTCCTTTCTTTAATTTGCTATGTTGCCTTAGGGAAAAGTTCAGTGGGTGAGGAGTCAGCCAATGCACCCCTTTAGTTCCAGCTTTTCTGTTTACTTGGTGTTAATTTTCTTTTTGACATAGTTCTATTTTCTCTACATAGTCTGGCTTCTCTATAACAGCAAACAGGTGCAGTCATCTGCCTGTATACCTAATGTTTGTTTTACTAAAAGTGCAGAGTAAAAAGCAGTGATACTGTTTACAGAAGGAGCAAGAGGCATTTGAGAAGAACATATTAGTTGAGAATAAATGTGGTTTATTTATGGTGTGAAAAAATGACGGTGTCCCTTCTTTCTGCTACTGCCACTTTCTGTTTTCTTTTCCTTGTGTTTTGTACCATAAGATTAGATGGAGTTCCATCACTTTAGATCTGAAGCCAGACAGGTTATATCCACCATCTTAGGAAAATAGGAGTAATGCAAAATCTGGGATAAAATAGAAGCATACATAGTGTGAAGCACAGAGTTAGGAAGGTAGTGGCTGCCTAATGTTGGGCTCTCTTGTCCAAGGCTGCATCTACTTGTGCAACCTTCTTTTATCTGTTCCATCCAGATACTGAACTGATTCATGTGAAAAGCAAAACAAAAAATGACTAGACAAAAAATTTGTGTCTAGTCATGGACTTTTGACAGTTTTGAGAGATGGTACTTCAAATGTACATTGAAGATGAGAACAGCATTTCAAATGCCTCTAAATAGCTCAAGTTTTAGTCTACAGATGGGAAGAAGTTTCTACATTAAAATATTGATACTAAAGTTTTGATCTCCACCTTCAGCTATATTGTTACTGTAAAATGATTGGGAGGTTGCAAAACTTTGTTACAAAAGTGTTGGGTATGGAAGGCTCTCTTTTAATCTGTTATCTACAGCAAATTTATTAGGGTTGTAGTGCATATATTTAGCTGTGCTGCCCATACCAACTGGCTTAAATATGTTGCTTCTCAAGGGCAGAACAAGAGAGAAGGACTAATTCCTTGCATTCTTTCATGTATAGCATGAAGCGAATCACAGGTTAGAAGTATCTATTGATTAAGTCATGATGGCAGCTGCTGAACTGGAAGAGATTTGCATCAAAACTTTTGATTTGCAATCAAAAAATGATTTTTGTTGCACCTTCAAAAAGGATGCATGACATTACATCTCAAGAACTTTGAAGTGTCAGGCTGAAGCATTCAAAAGTTAGTGGACGTCAAGGTCTCTGATTGTTTTTCTGTGTGTGTATGCAGAATGACTGTTACAAATTGCTAGGTAATGGCAGATTTTGCACTTAAAATATGGGATGGCTTTCAGCTCAAGGAAACCAGAAGAAATATGGTTTGATATGTTCTGGAATAGATGAGATCTGCAGAATTAAAATGACTTTCTGGTTCAAATTCTGATTGGTTTTAATGTTGGATTGTTTTTTTGTTTATCTGTTTCTGTTTTACAGTGTTATGTGGGAACCAATGGGAGATGGTAAAAAGATTATTTCACTGGCTGATAACAACATATTATTCTGGGATTTGCAGGAAAGTTCAGCCACAGCTGTGGTAAGAAATTTTTTTTAATAGAACATTATCTACTCAAATGTAGTGCAAGCAACAATATTCGGTAGCCTAGAATTTGCTGATATTTTTAACTTTGCTTCAGAAATATCTTGTTGCCTTTAATGTGTGTGTGGGGAAATGAATATTCTATCAGTTGTCTTGAGTGTTTAAGAGCTAACTCTAGCTAGTGGGTAAATATTTTCCTTGTTCTAGACTTCCCTTTCCTACTGGTTTTGCAGTGAGTAATCTAAAATAATGTACACATTTGGTGAATGTGTACAAGGGAAAAATGGTGATCAGTAAAGCTAAAGGTATATTAACTCATGTTGGTTAATAGCATGCAGCCCTTTAATTTACAACCCTTATATGCATAGGCATAATATAAATTTCTCTATTTGCTATGTGCTGTTTTGGAATTCTGAATATAAGTGTTATTTTGTACTATACTGTTTATTCAGATTATTTCAGTTATTGTTAAAAGCTTCTTGTTCAGGAACATGTATTAAAAAAAGTGTCATTGGCATAGATTTTTGTCTGATTATGCCATGTCATTGATTGTATATGAAAAACTTGGAATGTTTCTGTATGGAATCATTTAGGTCAGTGTCTGTGCTTAAAAATGGAAACTGATTATGTCAAGGATATTATTATTATTCGGTTTATATGTTGCCATTTCTAGATTTAACTCCTAAAGTCAGGGTTAATTTTTCTTCCTGAATGCTCAATATCAGGTTTTTTTGTGTCCATAAGCTCTTCTTTGTTGGTACCATCTGACTGTGTACAAAGAAATGCACACAGTTATTATTTTGAGTTATTATTTTGCTAGATTTCACATAGTATCAATGTAATGTAATATAGTTTAATCCTTTATGTTCATAATTAAGCCCTTTGGGTTCCTTCACTAGATGAGAAAACTTCAGCTATTTTTTCACCTGCAACTTCAATTGGTGTTACGTTGCCTTCCAAGGCTTCTTCAAATTAGTGTTTGTTTTTATCAAACTGATGTTGAGAGTTTCTGACAGCTTGCCTCCAGGAGCTTGTCTGTGGCATTGTATCCACTGGATTTGCATTACACCTGCATTTAGTTAGTATTTCTTTTCTAATGCCTGCATAATACACAAACTCTTTTAGAATGTTGAAAAACTACTTTGAGGGTGGTATTGCTTCATGCTATACCTCTTCATGTCTCTTTGAAGTACTGGGACTACTAGACAATTTAGCATTTTCCCCTTCTCCTACTTTCACTCTTTGGGCAGTTCTGTCCTCTCTTGCTATAATTCTTTTGAATGCTAATTAGTATTTTCACTGTTCCAATCACTTTCTCATAACTGTCTCAATTTTCTTCCTAATCCTAACCTCTCTGAAATGGCTCTGCCGATGGGAGGGTGTTGGAACTAGATGATCTTTAAGGCCCCACCAAAGCAGACTATTCTGTGATTCTCTATTATTTCCTTTGGGATGCTGTCCAGTGTGTTTATCAGTTTCTCTGTGTGGGAATCTTGTAATGAATGCCAAATTCCTTTTTAATTCCTCATTTTATTTTGCTTGGGATTTATTTACTAGAATTTGGTATTTTGTCTCTTCCTTATACTATTCCTTTTCTCAAAACTAACCCCTCACTCCATCACACAAATATTTGTGCATATAACTATGATTTCCATTTTCTTTTCCCTTCCATTGCTAGCATTCTGCTCTGCATAATTTTGGAGAGGAGTAGACTCTTCAACAAATTATGTAATTTCAGCATGATTTTGGGAATCAATATTTCTGTCCTCAAAGAAGTATTCAACTTGCTGATCCTTTTCAAGTAGTGTTCCTTATGTAGAATATTTTTTTATTGTTAGTTTTAAAATATGCCTGTACTACATCAAATATTGTTGGCACAAAAGGACTCCAGAAGGCAAAGTAAGTGATAAAGGACCTAAGGGGATTAAACCTGTGACATTTGTTATATGCTTATATTTGACAAAATGAAACAAGTAAAACCAAATGTGAAATTCTGAATCAAAAAAACCCCTGCTTCTAGTCATGAAAGCTAAGACTATGAAAGTAGATATCAACCCTTGACCAACATGTTGACATAGGAGCATTTTGAAATGTTTGTTAACAACTTTTGTTTGCAGAAGTTAAGAATGTTATTTAGATTTTACAGTCAGGCTCTCAGGAGACTTGATATAGAATTTGACTGATTCTCTGTATTTCCATCTAAAATAATCTGGTATCTCATGAGAGTGCACTGTAAATGAGAATTATTTGTGATTAAAATTTTTTACCTGAAAATAACTGTTTACCATAATCAGTCTTCTGCTCCAGCAATTTTGAGTTGCTCTTAGATGATATTCGCTTCAATACTAAGTCAGTATATAATGCTTTTAAAGTGAAGTCCATGGAAACTTGACTCTCAGACGTATCTCCACACGTCAAAATCTTAAACCAAGTAAACCTCTTCTGAGATGACTGAGTCTGTTGCAATTCTGTTGAATTTTTCTGTGCAGCAAATTTGTCTCAAACATGTCTGTGGATTCCTAAGTGGAGTCCAGCTGGACAAGTCTGAGGAAAGCATTGGGCATCTCTTTAAAATGCCTGCTATAGACTTTCTAGTAATTCACATGAAGACAAGCTGAAGTCCAGTAGGACTGGACAAAGTAGACTTTTTCAGGACTAGAATCAATTGCAGTATATTTCTGAAATCTTTGAAGATCACCTCCTTCCTAAGAGATTAACTCCCCATTAAAATCCATATAAGCCTGAAAAACAGTAACTGTTATTCTGTAGCCATGTAGCATTTTATATTTGCAAAAAATTATGTAGGACTGATAGTTACAGGGAGCAATGAAGAAAAATAAGCCAGGTTTCATTACAGAGATGGCTTTCTCTTTAAAAGAAAAAATAATTAAAACCCTCCACCAAAAATTAACACTCTACCCCCTACTTAGCTGCTATAGTATTTAGAATGTGAGAGAAATCTGTGAGAACAGGTTGGTTAGAAAACAGATAACATTGGTAGGGGTAACCAGTAGATATTTTCCTTTTGGTTATCACCGTACACAAGAAGTGTTTGTAACCAATGAGCTGTTGGTGAAATAGTGATTTCTTTCTGTGAGTATCCTGTTTATAAGGAATTGTTGAATGCATAATATATCACAACTCTGAAAAACATGTGATTTGTATTTTAATGCTTTTTGATCAGAATATAAAAAGACTTTTCTTGAATAAAAAAGAGCTTTCTTGGGCCCAGAAAACTGATACAGAACACCTACAGCAAAAAAAATCAGGTCTTGGTACATTTAAAAAAGAGGCATGTTAAAACAAATTAGAAAAAACACATTTGCTTTATATTAAGATACACAGAGAGATTATGTAAATGACAAGAAACATTGTGCTTAGTGTTCGTTAAGATAAAAAGTTGTCCATTTTTGGCAGCTCTTAGCCACCTGATGTCTCATCACCTGTCATGCTGTTTGGTTCAAGCAGACAGTGACTAAGTAGTAAGTAGCTCATATTGAGGAAACTTCCTTGTCTGACTGTCCAGGAGCCACTCCCCTAGTCACACTCCCACCGCCAGAGACTTTTCCTGCTGGGACTGAAGCCCCCTCCCCAGTGGGCAGCTCCACTGAGCTGACAGGTCCCTGCTTGACTCCCCACACATCCCACAGTCAGTCACACAGTCAGGAGGTTTCCCTACCGGATCAACCCCAGGTTTCCCAGAGCAGAGGCTCAGACTTGTGGTTGCCTTTAGTAACTTCATCAGGGTGCAACAACAAAATAACAGCTGGAGCCGGTGCCAAGGAGGGACCCCAACAAAGGAAACTCTGGGCTTTTTTACCCTCACAGTCTATACCTCGGAAGTCTGGGAGCTCCTGCTGTGTCTGTGAGTGTCCAGTCACGTGGCGGGCAACACAGGTCCATCTGCCCTTTGTTGTGCAAAGGGTCAGTGCCTGTTCCCAGCCTCCTGCCTCAAGCTCCCATAATTTCCCGCCACCCAGAGCTCAATGTACAGCTGGCACTGCAGCTGCACACCAAGCTACCTCAATGTTTTCCCCAACACTAGTAAACATGTATTCTGTAGGGACTGTTGAGGGGAGAGTGTCTTTACAAAGTATACGTGTTCCTATAGACTTATAAGTGAAATAACAATGTACCTTTGTGTGTTTATATATATTGTTAGAACTGAATAAATCAAGAGCCTAGAATTAAGGTAATAAAAATGTCCGCATGTTGAATTTTTTTTCCTATTTTGTTAAAAACATGATGGTGCTTAAGTTGATTAACATCATCATTGTTAACTAAAAGTAAGATCTGGTCCACTGTATCTGTATTAGATAGTAGAGGTAAGGAGGTACTCATTACATTGGTGCAGAACTGGTCTTTCTGTTTTAATAACATTTCAGTTGCTTCCTTTTTGGATATATATATATTATAGGCAATATTCAATGGTAAGTGGCAAACCAAATGCTACTCTTTATGGACTTTTCATGTTTATGAATAAGTTTGTTTAAAATTCAGGTATAACAGGTGAAAAACTGGAAATATATCTTGAAAATTTGCATAGGCCAAAATTTCTACTTGTCTACACTGATCAAACTTTCTGAGTCTTATTTGGTGTATCTTTTGTATCTGCCTGTGGTTTCAAGTCGCATTGTTTCATTAGAATTAGAATTTTAGGATTCCCAATATGTTCACAGCTTCTTTGTAAAAGAATCACTGGTGTGTTTGTTCTCTGAATTATTTGGTCAGTTTGCTATAAAAAACATTTTCTTATCATAACTTACTATACACTTCACTGGATTCATTTGGGGTGTTTTCTGCTTTTGTTTTGGTTGGATTTTTATTTCCTTTCCATGTTTTTTTGCTAACATGTTTCCTCATTACAGTATTTAATACAGGAATATTTGCCTGTATTTGCAATAAGACAAGCTTCTCCTTTCCTTTTGATCACTCCCTTTATTTTTGTTTTGAGGACGTTACCTTCTGAGGTGAAACTAATCTTATGCTCGCTGCATCATTACCTTTTGCAATTAAATTAGCCGTTCTTCGCCATTTATAATCATTAGCTGTACCCAAGAGAAGCCCAACCAATCCACAAGGTGTGAGTTGAGTCTGCTGAGAAGATGACAGTTAATATTTCTGTGTATACACTTAAGGTCAGATGTTGCCAAATCAGTAGAACTCTTCCTTGGGAAAATGCAATATGTTTGGCATGGCAGATAAGTGCAACAAAATGAAATGGAGATATTAAAATCTAGATATTTTTCTGGTTTTCATATGTTTTCATGAAGGGATGAATAGTGGTGTGGTTTTGGTAATTTTAATCCAAGTTACTAGTTAGATTCCTTCTGAATTTCTTGTCCCTTCTGGATTCTTTAGCAGTGTTAAGATATAGGTGGTCTTCATTCAGAACAACAGATAGTATCTGACAGTGGCATTCCAGGCAAGGCAGAATATATTGTGGGGAAGATTTCACAGGCTATCTGGATAAAAGTGATGTATCCAAATATAGGAGGATGTTAGGAATAAGCATGAGATGCTTTCTTGGCAAGATTGCTGCTGTTTCTCATGGTAAGGAAATACCTTGTGGAGTTCAGTGGAGAATTTTTTTAGAGTGCCCCATAATTACTGCAAGTAGCATAAACATAGATTAATTATAGGAGGGCAAAAAACTGTCAGAAGAAAAATAAAAGGAAAATTACTGGATCAGAAAGAGGATAGAAACCAGCTCTTAAAGAGTTGGAATCAATTTTATTTAATGGTCTCCTTAACGATGGAATAGAAGTAGGAGTGAAATAATGAAAATTATTGCTGACAGAACATGAATCATCAGTATATAGGAATAACAATGTATTTCAGGGAATGAACTTGATGTTTTGTTTAATTTTTCTAGTATAAAGCAGAAAACTTCTGTTTAAGGAATAAAAATATTTTCTTGCTGTGACATAGCAACTCAGCACTTAAAAATAACTGGATTCTGCTACTTAGTTATTGTGAGAGTAGCCCTGAACTGCCAGTATGATAAGGCTATTTGAAAAGGCAAATAGTTGAAGGATGGTTCAGGAGACAAGAACAGTTATGAAAGGACTATGTGGCATGGTTGCCTGCAATGGGAGGAACTGAACTCAATGAATTTAAAGTCCTCATCAACATTAGTGTTTCTGTCAATAACAAACCAGAAAAACACTCATGCCTTCTTAATATCAATCTCAAAATAGTCTGCTTGGGTTTGTCTACTTAATGTAGCCCTTACTATATCTTTCTTCCAAGTACTTTCCTGTTCTGTTCTTGGACATAAGTAAACTTTATGTATCCATGTGTCTCTTATCAAGGAGTCCATTGCATAAAGAACCACTTTCTTTTGTTTCCTGTTGAATCTGACTTGTACAGGCTTCCTTTGATGGCCCATAGATCTTTTCCTGGAAGAGAGCATGAACAATTGGTTCACTGTCTCCATGCTGCTTGTGGTGTTTCTCCATAATCTCTGTACTCTTTATAGTTTAATATATATTGGCTTTTGGATTTTTTGAAGGATATTGCTTATCCTTTCCTCTTTCCAAACCAGCCCTTGTGAGACCAAATTTTGAAGGAGAAAAAGAGCCATCTCATTCCTTACTGATGTTTTGATGAAAATAAGTTGGAGTAATTGATATTTTCGCAGTTCCACTTAAGCACTTAGGAACAGAGTTAAATCCATCTGATAACCATTTCACATTGTTCAGCATTTCCTCTAGACGTTTTTTCTGAAGTCAGTGTGTGATCCTTGCACATTGCAAGAGCAATACCTAATTTTGTTGTCTAAAAGTAGACATTCAATCTTACTCTGTTCCTTTCTTTTTTCCTTAATGTAAGTCACATTTTGTGTAGTAAAATAATACCATAAATCGTTTTCCTTCAGTATCCAGGGAGGCCCTCAGACCTGCATGTCTTAATCTTCTGGGCAGCACAGATCCAAATCTTCACGCAAGAATAATGTCTAAAATACACCTTTGTCATGTTTTCCTTTCCTTTTGTAGTCAACTTTTCTACCTTAAAAGAGGGGGAGGAAAGGGTTCAAGATAAAAACAGAGCTTGCTTACCTGTCCATATATTTAGGTATCAATTAAAATTAGAGCGAAAGGTTTTTTTGAACCTTCATTTGTGATTCTGAACTACCAACTTTGCTTCCTTTATTTCTTGTATTTCCAGTAAGGAGACTTGTAGACCTCCTTCTGTTACAGGATTCCTTCTTAGGTATGAAAATTTCCCTCCCTTGTCTCTTAATTGTCCTTTAAATCCAGTTACTTTCAGGTTCATAGAAGACATGTAAAAGAACATAGAGTTGATTGAGAACTTGGCAGAATATGTAGTTGGACATCCATACAGGGAAAAATGTTGGCCCATCTAACGTGTGTAATTTGTTTCATATGCTGTTAAGGAATAGCAGGGTATGTCTGCTGGCCTCAACCCTAAACTTTTGACTGAAAAGAAGAAAACTTTGATCTTTTTATAATAGTTTATATTATAAAAGTTGAAATGGAAAGACTTAAAAATTGTCTGGAATGCTGGAGAATGTATTGTCTACTGCTGACAAAGACCCTCTTCCCTGAGTCACATTTTGGATCTGTGATGCTTTCCATCTCAAGAACAGATTTTGGAAATACCTGATAGGAGATATTCTTTTTGTTGGTACTGTCTTACTGTCAGTAAACTCAATTTCAAGCTCAAACTCAAACCAAAAAGGGGCAGCATCCCAAGGAGAAGACTCCAAGTTAACAATCTCCAATCAGCCACAGTAAGAGACAGTTTCCAGGCAAACCTTCAGACTAGGCTCGAAAACATTCCCACAGCTTCTGCAGATTCCTCTCCTGAAACTATCTGGCACCATATTAAAAACAGCATCCTGCAAACCTCTGAAGAATCCTTAGGGAAGAATCCTTAGGGTTCTCCCTCAAGAAGAACAAGGACTGGTTTGACGAAAACAACCAAGAAATCCAAGACCTGTTGAGGAAGAAGAGAACCGCCCACCAAGCACACCTTGCACTGCCATCCTGTCACGCAAGAAAAACAGCCTTTTGTCTCGCATGCAGCAAGCTCCAACAGAAACTCTGTGACATCCAGAACAAGTGGTGGATCGATCTAGCTTACTGTCAGTGTTAACATTTACTTCCTTCCCTCCTCCCAGTCTGTCCTTTGTATGGACAAGACTGCTAACTAAAGAAACTTAGTATAATATTCTAAAAGACCCACACAAGCCATGCATATTCTCTTGTGCCTGGAATCTAGTGTTTGTCAAAAATCAACAGTGCATTTTATTATCCTGCATCCAGTGTCCTGTGCAGTGTCTTTTATTTCAATAAGTAACCTGCAAGTTGTAGAAAGGCCTTCAGACAGTATTTGCTCTGGAGGAGGAATGGTGCTAGAGGAGTAGGTTTGGCCACAGTGTTATTACATTGTTCATTAACACATGAGCAAAAAATTTTTGGAGGGCAACACATTTTAGGTAGCATTAGGTAGACTTCAATGATAGAAGAGTTGTAATTTCTAGATTTTTAATGGTAATGCTAAAGAGATGTGATATTCTTGGTGGAGCTGTAGTAGTAAAAAGTTAACAAAATACATAAATGGACATTGGAACAATATGCAAATAGGTTTAAGCAGTCTTGTACTGACAGCATATTTTTCTGTTGATGTCAGTTAAAGTTTATTTAAGCACTTTGTATGTTTTAGTCTTTTTCATCCATCAAAGTGTAATATTTCTGCTGAGAAATCTAGTATTTAATAGAATATTTATGTTGTATTAGGATCCAACAAGATCCAGCACAGCTTTCATGAAATACCTCATAGTGAAATAGTGAAATGTTTTGAAATATGGAAGTTGTGTGAAAGATGACCAAAGTCATGCTATCTGCCTAACTGCTCAAAATTTGTATAAATTTAATATCTGATTAAATGCAAGTACTTTGGTTTTTCTTCCACCCATGTAGATATTAAACAGTTTCAGAAAGTGATTAGAAGTAAAAGTAATTTGCAGTGTCTGCAGCTTCATTTCTCCTCATGTGCACATGGAATTGGGGTATAACTTGCTATACAACTTCAAAGAGAAAGTTGATTACTTTGGACCTTCTTTTCATTAACTGTGGAGATGCAGAGCTGCCTGTTCAATGAGATGTAAGCCCGGTTTTGGAACTGAAACCTTTAATTATCACAGATAGTAGATGTGTGATCCAGTATCTACTGTTATTTCAATGGACATGGGCACCTGGGCCTTGATATTTCTTATTTTTTATTTTTTTTAAATTTTAAAAGCTGCTATGTATTTATCCAAGGGTCTTCAACACCATAATTCTGTTCCTACAGATAAAATTTGGCATTTTGACATTGAAAAAGTCTCGTAAGACTGTTAACAAAGCTAAATGCGTGTTTGTGTGTGTGAGGCAGCTATGAATTTCTGCAATGTGCCCATATTGTCTATCTACTGTTTCAACAAATGATCTAAAGCTGGTTTTTTAATTTATACAGTAGTACAGTACTTCTCATATTTCTGAAGACATTACAGTGCATAAGCCTTTGTAAAAATTACTCTGAGAGAGAATATTAGCTCTAGCTTTTAATTTTTTTCTCTTTTTACTTTTTTATCCTAGGAGATGGTAGTCTGCACTTGGAGCAATAGGCTATTGAGCAGTTTTTGTCTTCAGAGGAACTAATTTCATTGTAATGTTACATTTGGAAACATTTCCAGATTTGTTTTGTTGTTTTAGCTCTCTAGTTCTGCAGCCTTGGAAGGGAAAGGACAATTAAAATTTACTTCTGGAAGATGGAGTCCACACCACAATTGTACACAGATTGCGACAGCCAACGATACCACTGTTCGAGGATGGGATACACGAAGCATGAGGTAATGAGAAATTGCACTCGTGTTCTCTAGAGAAGACATTCTCCTTTGGAGATAGATTTTTTTTTTTTTCGTTGCTCCTAACATTTTATTTTTTTTTTAGATAATGAATGTGGCAAACCTATAATTTATAAAAGGAGTAGTTGTGCTTGCGTAGCTCATATATTTATGATTTAGTGAAGGGTTTTCTCTGGTTTTCCCCCTCAGCTTCAATACTAACTTACATACTGAGTTTTACCGAACTATGTATCAATCTCAAAGATGATTTGTTTAGTACATAGGGATTACCTTAATGAAACTGTTCTGTAATTCAGCCTGAAAATGATTTAACAACAGTCCTGGCCATGTGATGAACTTTCTTCATAGCATAGTATTTAAAGGTGATTTTAATCTTTGAAGGCAATTCACAGGTTAAGTTCACTCTTTACTATTTTGATTTTAACAAATGGAGTTCTGTACAAAAGATTGTAGCATGCTAGTTTAAGAAACCACTGAATCTATCAAAATAATAACCAAATAAAAGCTTCGAATATACCTAATAAGGTGTTTTCTGCCCTGCTCAGTTATGATTTTGATAAGCAAAGGAGTGATGTTGTGCACATCTGTTGCCATGACTACTAAAGCCTGTGCAAGCTTTTTTAAAATACGCTTTATCCCTTTAGCACATAGTAATTTATCACTAAACCGAGAAGACTGATGTCTTGTAATAACTTTTGTTGCCTTAAAGGTGGATGACTTTAAATTTAGTTCTGTGGTTCCTGCCAACTGAGAGATGTAGCAATAAATCCCTGTGTTTGCCAGCTTTGTGTGTTTTTACCAAAAAGGTTTATTTAATTAAGGAAAGGAAAGGTAAAAATACAAATACAATAATTAAAAGTCACTTCCTGTATGTTTGTCATCAAGTTTGAAAGTCCTGGTCTTTGCTTTATGAAATGATACATAAAAATCTAACTTTATGTGGATATTTTGGTTTATAAGGACTCTTTTAAATGAAGTGTACAAAAGCGGAAGGAGAGGTCAAAGGAGAAGGGTTTTATTAAATTTACATTTTTGGTGATATTTTATAATCATCCTATTTTTAACATATAGCATGCAGACCTTAAGATTAAAGCCTGTGTTTCAAAGAGAAAATGTTAAATATTGTGAGGTCTGCTTCATGCTCTGTCTCATTAGAAAAAGCATCTCTATCTTGCATTAAATGAGTTCTCTGAGTAACTTCTGTGAAGGTAGATAGTCCAGATATTAATAAGATCCTCAATGAAAGGTGTAGCTTGGTTAACACAAACAAACCCCACAATTCTGATTGCTTTAAGTGAAGCTCAGGTTAGATAGTCCTTAAACCAGTTTAAGTACTAGGCAATGCCAAAGAGCTGTTCACGGTATACTTGAAAAATGTATGCAAGGATAAGTCTCATCTGAAATAACACTGTAATATGTCTATAATTATGTGAATATTTGATAATGATTAGTTAGGCTAGAAGTGGGTGCTTAAAGTCAGGGCAGTATAAACTGTGGCAGTATAAGATGCAAAAAATGAGGGGGGAGGGAGGAATCAAGGGCAGAAAACTGCTATACCAGCAAAGAGAGGAGCCAGAATAGCTACTTCTGCAGAGTGTGGTTATGATAGCTGTGAGATAGCTGGAGTACATAATTTTGGAGATATCAAAGAAGGAGAGGAAAGAAAGATTGTTAAGAAGACTCCTAGACTAGACTAAGAAGCAGTCTTATTCAGAGAAGAGCTTGTGAAGAAGGGGAGACAGACACTAGGCTGATTTGATTTAGAGAGAGACTTTTGAGGAAAATTCAAACTCCAAGAATAAATTCTAAAAAATATGAACACAGAATAATTTGAGAAGGTAGAGCCAGTAGCTGGAGAAAATGTATATGTGGTCTGGCATTAATCTTAGGATCTATAAGTGGGAAATTCAGTGCATGTATTATTGCTGTAGGTAGGATGATAGGGTGAAGAAAAGAATATTCATATTTGGGAAAGAAAGGGATTAAGTGGTCAGAATAACAGTTAAGTTGGAACAAAGGCTTTCATGGTGAGCAGTGCTGAATACACAGTGGACTTTGATGTTTCTTTTTAAGCCCTTACATGCTATGAGCAGTGTAAGAAAAAAAAAAAAGAAAGGTGCAATAAAGAAGTGTTTTACTGCTACAAGCATGCTTAAGACTCAAAATTTTTCCCATAGACATATTTTAAGAAATTAAGAGGAAGTTTGAATTTGATTCCCAGAATACCTGGTAGAAATACCTGAAGGATATCCTTAACCTCTGAAACTCAGAGAAGAGTGTTCATGATGAATATTGAGGTAACTTCCCTTGTGACTGCTGTAGATGTCAGGATAGGGCTTAGTAGAAGCCTTGTATACTTCGAATCTCTCCTTATGGAGCTATTTTGCTTTGTAGGTATTAGCAGCAAGAGACTGTTTCATCTTGACAGAAGACAATAAGAATATGAAATTTTCACAAGAAATATGAAATTTTAGTCAGTATGTTTCCTGAAGAGAAACATTTTCTTTTAAAGAAAGGAAGAAGCTCACAAAGTGTTGACAAGTTCTAGGGAAAATTGTAGGAGACTGTCAAGTCTAAGCAGAACTTTAGATGGTAGATGGTGGCTTTGAGAAAACTGATAATGCAACTGTGGAAAAAAAAATAAAACAAAAAAACCAACCAAGCTGAAGAGGCGAGATAGGGAAACAATCTAATGGAACATGATGCTTGAGTAGAGATTCTGGGTTGTTGGCAGTGCTACAAATGTTTTCTCAAGTGGTCCAGATGGATGAGTATGCACATGGCTGAGTAGTTTAAGGGCCACAGATAAATTAGTGATAAGTGCCACAGGTCAGGAAGGTAAGTTCACTATACAGCAGTAATAAAAAGCTGTTGTTCATATCTCTTGCATCCCTTGCATCTCCGCTTTTCATATAGGGAGGAGCAGATGTCATAGATAGAGAATTAGTGTAACTACTTAGGAGTGGAGAAGCTCTTATCTGAAAATATTGTGGTTTAGTAGCAGACATTTTATAACAGTTGTTACACAGCTGTGCTAGAATCATCTGGAACTACTGTTTCCTTTTAACTCCAGATGATCCTAATGCAAACATGGAAAGAGCAGAGCTTCAAAGGAAGCTGAGAAATCTATACAAGTCACTGTTGTTAACAGCTGGGATTTCCCCAAACTGTGCACTAGCAGTGGGAACTCTAGGTCTACGGATGTTAAGGGGATTATGCAAGTTTCCAGGGAAACAGATTCCTGTCAGTGAAGTGCAGTTAGCTTTTTATAGACCATTTAATTTTTTTAATGTGTTTTACAGACAGATATATTGCATAGAAAATGCACATGGACAGCTGGTACGAGACTTGGACTTTAATCCCAATAAACAGTACTACCTGGCTAGCTGTGGAGATGACTGCAAGGTGAAATTCTGGGACACAAGGAATGTCACTGAACCAGTGAAGACACTAGAGGAGCATTCCCACTGGTAGAACAAATTATCTGCATGCTGTTTTGTGGGTGGATGGCTTATGTAATTTATTCAGCTAATTATTTTACCATTTAGGAACAATGCAAACTAACTATGTTTGTGCTATTGTGAATAATCATTTTTTTGCATAGAGGAAAAGTTTCAACATGTCAGTGTTCCTTGCGTAATTGTGAGTTAAGAAAATGTTAGTCTAATTGGCAAGAAAGTGTTGTTAACATTGTTGGGATTTGGGATACACCTTTGAGAAGCACAGCACAGGACTTGGCTGATAGGGGCAGCTGGGACACAGGTGTGCCTTCCCAAATGGAGGCTGATCTGATGCACCTGATGTGCAGTAGAGCAGCTGTCATCCATCGTTCTGTTGTTGAATGGTTAAAACATTTGGTAATTCAGTCCCATTTTTTTCATGCTTTTCAAAGTCCTTCAGTCAGAATATGCAAGTGAGTAATTTTATTCTCTGAGAGAACCTTTAGAATCTGTATCTGCTGCTCTGGCCTGTGGTTGGAGTAAGGAGAGACTGTTGTCTGACATGTGCACTCTTCAGTGGTTAAGAAAAGATGAACAGTTAATATTTAATAAAATTTGGGTTGGAGTAATTATTGAAAAATAAATCTGGACCCTGAAGCTTCTTTGAGGGGAATGAAGAAGTGAATTAACAGAAGCAGAATTTATCCTTTTTCTTTTCCAAAATATTCAAAGAAAAAGAATAAAACAAGAACCTTAAGATGTTTGTGTTAAATTGATATGTAAAATTTGAAGAGAAATATAATCCTATTTTTGTTCTAGGATCTATTTTAAACTTCACTGTCAGAATGTTGTGAGATTTTTGTTTAACAGGCTAATTCTAATCCATATTTCACTTTGGGGAAATTTTTATATAGAGAACTTAAATATTCATCTGACTTATTCAACAATGAATTGCCATGTACCCTCAAGGAATGATATCATTGAATGGTATGTTTTGTTATTTTGTTGGGTTTTTTTTAACTTATTTGTTGAATTTTAAATGTACCTCATAAAAAACAGATTATATGAAAGCTTAAAAGCCAAATGAAGATGGCAAAAAACAGTCTTTGAAATGAGACTTGTTTCTTCTATGTATACTTACAATGTTTAAAAGATCAATGTTAATGCCACTCTTAAAAGAAAATGTTTAACATTGATACACTACCTACCAAGAATCTTGTTCTTTCTGCTTTAACTTTTTTAGGGTCTGGAATGTCAGATACAATCATTCTCACGATCAGCTGATCCTTACAGGAAGCAGTGATAGCAGAGTTATCCTGTCTAATATGGTATCAATTTCTTCTGAACCATTTGGACATATGGTAGATGATGATGAACTCAGTGACCAAGAGGACCAGCATCAAGAAGAGAAGTATGAAGTTTCCTGAGTTTTATGCAGATGCTTATAATTGTCTTTTCATTGTAATGTTTTACATGCTATTTTTTTTGCTGACTAGGATTTTTGTATACAGGCCTTTCAGGTAAGTAGTTTTAATTCCCACTTCATTCTTTACTCAGAGTCTTGGGTGGAACACACTCTTTAAATCCGATTGGCACAGTCTCTCTATGTTCAATGGGGGTTGTGGTGTTCACAGGGGTTGGTGATGCTGAGGGCCAGTTCTAAAGTCCACTGGATCAGTGAAAAGATTCACTTTAAGGGAGCTCTGGATCAAGTCAAGCACGTAGAATAATCTGAGTTAAGTGAGAATTTGAAAATATGCTTTTGTGTTTTCTATGTATGTGTTGTAACCTTTAGGAAATGTTACCAGTCTAAAGAAAAAAATGAGGTTGATTTTTATCCTGTTTTGGAGCACATCTGATTTGCTATTAAACAGCACACAAATGTTGAAAAAGAGAATGTCTTTTTCAGGTGTATCTTGAAATACACCAGAAAGAGCATGTGTGTGTACAACTAATGTCTCTAGCCAGTCACCTTCAGACCAAGTGACCAAATCTCTCTCAAAAGAGGGTTGAAATATCAAGTGGAAAGAAGGGAAAAGGCTTTTTCCTCATGGACTACTATTTTTCATGTCCTGAATACAATAACTTGTAAAAATACTCCTTGTATTAAATATAAAAATGAAGAGTATGTGCCAGTTGTATCTTCAAGGGTTTGTTGTTTTTTAAAAATTTAAAAATTTTAAAAACGTTGAATTGTAATACTCTTCCACACAGTTAAGACTCCTTCCTGAGATCTTTAAGACTCAAGTTAATTTTTAATATATTTGAGAGTAAATTTCCTAATTTTTATTGTATTTTTACCTGGAGACAAAAGCAAGTAGTATGTCAGTTTAACCCTTCCTGGTTCAACCATGTAGAACTATGCATGAATCTACCCACTCATTTATTCTTACCAGATTTGTTACAGTAACTGCCTACATTTTAAAGTTCACAACTGAGAAATAATTATTTGGAGATAACTTTTTTCTAAGGAAAAGAATTCAAGTTCACTGCGTAATAAATAGACAAACTAAAAGTTGCTATATTCTGTTCTTCCTAAGGATTTGTTGTTAGTGGGTTCTCTTTTCAGTTTGTCTGTGTATGTGTTGGCATCTTGGGACTTTATATGCTCCTGTCTTGGAGACCAGAACATGCTTTCATAAGCAATATAACTAGGACTATTGCATGAACATCTGTCTCTTGTTGCAATCAAGTTACCTTCAGTTTCTCTTAACTGCTGATTCAGATCAGAGCAACTAGTTTGCTGCCTTCTCTCTACTTTTTAACTGCTGCTGCTGTTGTTTCTTATAGCAATCACAGAAATGTAAGCACAGGTAGTCTCCCTCTATCATATCTAAAGTCTCCCTAGCCTTTATCATGTGTCTCATAGTAGGCAGGAGGACAAATTTTAAAAACAGGAAAAGAAGATGTACTTCCCATGTGTATCCTCATAGCTCCTGACTATTTGCCATTCACGGACATTTGGTGCTTTCTGAATCATCTTTGGAGACTTTGATTCTTCCATTAGGATTTTCTTTTGTCATCAGCCATATTCTTGAGTTTATCTATTCTCACTAACTGTGTTTTTGTTTGCTCCAAAACATGTTAGCTGTGCAAATGTGTCTAGAAGTAATATGCCAACTGTGTTTTTTTTCTTGCACTGAATAAGGAAAGGCTTCAGTGCTTTCTGTTTGGGAAGCCCAAAGCCTCTGTTGAAAGTAGGTAGTCGAAAATGAGGATCAAACTGTCCACAGAGAAGAGCTATAGGCATGTGGCCAGAGGACAGCTGTGCTGTGTGCTAGTCAAGTCCCCACCCTGGATTATTTAATGCACAGTTCAAATATGGGGAAAAAAAATCAGCTGAAAAATGGGGAACGAAATGTTGTACTAGCTTAATTTCTAGCACCTTGATCCAGAGATAGAAAAAAGTGTACAAAATAAATTAAAATAGAACAGATGAGTGCGAGTACTTGGGATGCATTTAGGTTTCATTCCCCAAGCAAAGCTAATATGCCTGGATAAGAACACAGGGAGTGCTTTTCAATGCCCGCATTGGAACAAAACATTTTAAGCGGGATCGTTCCACATCTATGAATGCAGTTGGTTAAGTCAGGCTTCTCCTTGACCTCTTTCTTTAATGGTTTTGCACTCTGCTGTTGCTTTCTCCCTGCAACACTGAACTTTCCTGAATTCTAAATCTCCTGAAGATGTCTGTCAGTGCCTGTAAGACACTTGCAGAGCTCTGGTAACTGTCTTCCTCTAAAGGGAGATGGTGACTGTCTTATATCCTTTCTTCAGTCTGTGGTCATCCAAACTCCTGATGTTAGTAAGTAAGTCTATATATTGTTGTATTCAACTAGTCTGATAGTCATTTTAATTCTGCAATAAAAAAAGCTACTAAGTTCTTGCTGTTTAGTGTGGCCATCTTTACTCACCAGTCAGCATTCCTTTTCTTCTGTTATCGCAACATATTTATTTGCCTTCTAGGTTTGAATTTTGAACTGTTTAGGTTTCTGTTTGGCATACTGGAAATGTGCAGCATGAGAAGACTATTTGCTGTCTTAGGAGCACCAGCAGCAAGGTACATGCTGCATCTACAACAGTGTTTTCATACTTCATGACTTCTGTGGCCAGAACTTTGTGACAAGGCTCAACTGATAATGGAGGACTTGCTCTTTAATTGAAAAAGCCTATTCTGTATCCATAACAATGAAAAGATTTATATGGTCAATAACATTTTGAGCTTCTACATCAGTCCCAGCAAGGAAGCCATCCTTAAACTTTAATTCAGTGGTAGGAGCTACCAGCTCCCTTAGCTTTCTTAGGGGTTTAGGAGCTTAAGATGTCTGCTGTTTCACTAGCAGAACTGATTACTAAGGTCAGTATGCTACCTTCTCTCCTATGTTACATTTTTTGACAATATGTTCTAAGATGATCCTTGTCTTTGTTATCTTTTGCGGATTGTACCAGAAATTTCACGTTAGGAAATGCAGTTTTAGAGTTTTTCCTGAAGGCTTATGTTTCCATCTTTTTCGTCATAGATGTTAAGCACAATGTCCTTTGATACGAACAGAACAAGATCTAATACAAGCCCTTCTCACCATTATATATTTAAAGCTGAGACATGTGAAGGATTAGTCCTTCCAGTACAGAGTATCTCACTTGAGATTGTAAAGGTTTTAATGAGATTTCTCATTAAAATCTTAATTAGAATTAGAATTATTCTTAATTAAAATTAGAATCATCTTCAGCCGTCAGAATGGACCACAGAAAAAATGGTGGCTGCCCTCTCCATTGAAAGAGACTTCGGTCAAGTTCCATTTAAAGGAGCTGGTGGTTTCTACTTTTTGTGATAGAAATGTAGTTTGGAGCTTTTTGAATAATAAGTTATGTGGTTTCATGATAATACATATGAACTGTGTGATCTAACATAACACCTTTGTATGCGCATCTGTGACTTCAGGAGAGATATTTGTCAGCGTTGATATTTTGAAAAGGATTTGCCAAACATGCTGAGGCAGGCTTTCAGGATATTTTCACACAGCTGTCAATAGTGTTAATTTTTATGCCATTTTGCTTGTGGCATTTATGTCTTGGAGAAATCTAGAAGTCATAGGATTATGCTATGGAATCAACCAAGAGATTCAATTAATTAAAACAGCTTAAATAGTTTCTGTTTTGGGGAATGCTAGGATTCAGGACTTTACTTCATTGGATGTGAAAGAACCTGGGCCAGATTTAGTGCAGCAGCACTTTTCAGTCTCTGGACTATTTTACCTTAAAAGCTCGTAGTTTTTCTGTACTATTTCTTTCTTTAACCCTCATGAGTAGGTATACATTCCTTAATTTATTTTGCATATTAGGACATCTGTGAAACCTGTTATATAAAAATACACTTTTCCTGTTTTTAAAGATCATGTTTTCCTGTAGAAGCAGTTCAGAAAGCTCTTTTTTGAGTTAAAAAAATGATAAGCCTTGGAATAGTGTGAATGACCAATTATTATCTATAAAAATTGTGTTCAAGTATAAACATACTTGAATTCAGTTTTTCTTAAGAGAATGAAGAAGCAAGTAGTGTGTTGTCTAATCTTACCAGAAACAATTTTCTCCTGAAGTTAAAGGGAAAGGGCATCCACATGGTTTATTCTGGAATCCAGTGCCATGCTCTTCAGGATTCATTTTTGGATGCTGCAGTACCTGTTGCTGCTCTATTGATTCACTTCTATTTCATAATGATTTTTAGATTAAAGAGGATTTAATTTTGATGGTGATAAGGAATTAATGATTTTTGCTGACTGAAAACCATTTTTTATTAAATATTGTGGTGACAAAACAGGATTGCAAGCACTGCAAACTTAAGTGGTTGTTAGCATGAGAAGTAATTGGAAATAACAGCTCTCTACATGAAAATAATTATCCAAGGCCGAACAGGCTTCTTTCTCAAATCTGTAGCACAATTAACCTCAAAGTTATCTGGTAAAATAAAAGCTCCTCTCTTTTCATAGAAGCTGGTCAGGGTCGTGCTATTTGAATAAGATTACAAAGAGAACGCAGTCCAGTTTCAGTTCTCTGTGGGCACAGGTCTAAAATTTATGCATGATGTAGGTAGAGATTGCACATTTCATACTGTGAATTCTTAGTGGCATAAGAGTGTAATGCCCTGTCAGTTGGTGCAATAGAAGAATACATATAAGAAAATAAAAGGAATTTTAGTCTGGTCAGAATGAAATCTTTAAAATAGTATGGGAAAACAAGAAACTAGAGAAGCTTTTTAAAGGGCAGTAAGGTGTAGGGCAAGGAAGAAAATAGCTTACTGAGCTTGACAGGCACAACAAGTGATTACCAAGTATGCTTATCAAATGCAGTCTACACAGAGTGTTCTATCAAGGGATCAATAGGCCAAGCACCTACACCCGTGGTACACTGAACTAGCTGTAGCATGGCTATACATGCTATACATAGCTGTTTTGTACACATATAGGCATGCTATATATACGTAGCTATTGTTATACCCACAGCCTGAGGCTTTTATGTAAAAACAGATATATCTGTTTTGGTGACAACCTGAATTATACATATTAAAGTAGCATAGAAGAAAGTTTGCTTCATATCCAGCTCTGTACAGCTACTCTTCCTATTCCTGATCTTCTCAAACTGGGAAGAAATTGCAGTTCCTGAACTCACCTCCCTGTTCCAAAATCTGCCACAGATACCTGACTATCCTAGTATCCAGTCCTCTGTGTTCAGTGTTACGTCTTTAACCTAAGAAAGCTAATAACCTGACCATTTTCATCAGGAGCTGATAAGTACAAAATGGAAAGTTTCTGAGATAGGAATAATGCACATGAAAGTATAGCAATATTCTTTTAAACATTGATACTTTATGAATAGAGTATTACAAAAAGTACACTTGTCAGTGCTATGACATGACCTACTGTATATTAAGGACAAATAAAATTGTAGTAACTGATACCAACAGAAGGGTAATTAAAATATCTAAATAGACAAAAGCATCATAAGATACTTACAAGTTGATTTTTATGTGTTCCACTGGTATGTATTGTGATGAAAATAGTATTTTTGTAGACTTTGTTTATATATATATATATATATATATATACTTAAAAGGTATTTGTTACCTCAACAGTTATGACACTGACATTTATTTAAGTCTTTAACTTCTTGCATTAACCATATTATATGTATAATCTGGGGAGTTAGAAGAGTCTTTAATAAGTAAGAATGTGTAAAAGATGAGTAAAATTTCATTGAGAGTAAATAGATAATTGTGGGATTAAGAAAAGGAACAATTCTACGTACCCTAGATTCATATAGATTCAAAAATGGTGTCCTCAGCCTGTTTTTGGATTACCAAAAAAAGCACACATATAGCCAAAATGTAGAGAAATCTGAGGTGTTTTCTTGGAAATCTCTTAGCATTGGGTAAGGTCACAAACAACTTTGCTCTTTTTGGTTTTTTTGGGTTTTTTAAATTTTTTTAGCGCAGTCTTTCACATACATTAAATGAATTCTGCTCTTTATTTCACTAGCCTAATCCTTCTGGGTTCATTAGCCATTACACAATTTAAAGACTAATCTGTTTTCATTCATCATGTTTGTAAAGGATGCTCATGGGCAGTTTCTTTTGGATGTTCTATATTGTTCCTGAGACACAAGTTGTGATCAACAAGTGATCACTTCCATAAGTAGTCTATGCATAATATTATCACAGATCTATACTATTTAAAACAAAAAAGCAACACCAAAAACTGAACTCATGTGACCTGAAGAATGACATGGAATAACATGGTTTCTTTTTCTGGGAAGGCACAAAATATACTTTCCTACCCAAGAAAAAATTCAGTGTATAAACAAAAGACAGTTAAAAACTATAGTTATAAATGGAAATGCCAAACAGAAGTTCATCTATGGGCTTCTTTCCTGAACACTCATTCCCCTATGACTTCTGTAAATTAAATTAGATGAGCTGTGTTATTTAAATGAAGCACTGAAACAACTCTGAGCATACAGAAAATAGTATAATCTAGAAGCTTATTTGTCCTTGTTTTTCCAACCTTTGGTTAACTGAGACTCCTGGTTAACTGAAAGTCGGTCGTGTCCCCTGACAGCCATGTGCACTGTGCATTACTCCCCTGCTTATCCGGAGAGACATCTGAAACCTTCAGAATAATGGAGTTGTGGGTAAGTGGGTGAGCACTGCGTGAAGCACATTGCTGTCTGGGGACATGACCAACTTTCGCTTAACAGGGCATGGCAGTTAACAGGAACTTAGAAAAACACATTGCAGGCTGTGAAGTGTCTGTGTGTGTTTGTTAGCTCTCTGTTGTTAGATGGTTTGCATCAAAGTAGGTATTAAGGAGAATTTCAAAACAAGCTTGCTCTTTGCAGTTAACCAGAGGGTGCATGTTGGTTGTGCTATGACCTTTTTTTGGTTAGTTGACCTTTAACGCAGCACAAGTAAATTATAAAAATTCTTGAAACTACATATCTGAAGCTATTTTGCAGTATGAGACTACTTTTGGTGTCTTCATTAAATCCAATTGAATTTTAATTGCAGTGTTAGATTCACAGCTGGCTCGGCTGGCTAGGTGGAGCAGGGATATCCTGCAAGCAATTTGACTGTGTTACCGTGTAGTCTTTGTGATTGCAGAACTGCTTTCAGACACCAGTGGTAAAGGGCGAAGACAGCAATAACAACACCTCATTTCTCTAGTAGTAGCATCTGTTTAAATGATTGAATGGCATTCACAAGGCTCTTTGGCTTTGCTTCTGTAAGGAGTATTACAGCTGTAGTGCAAGGCTGTTCCTAGGAAGTGGAGGGATGCTACTGAAGGGCTGACTGATTCCTGTCAGACAGAGACGATTCTCTGTGGGTGAAGGAGCTCTAAGGTCATCCTCTGAAAAGTCACCTACCCTGTAGCTACAGAGTAATGTGCTGTAGTGGTGTTCTGAGAGGAGGGATTTGCTTTGTGAATGGAGGGAAGAAGGGCTGTGCTCAGTTAGCAGAGCACAATCAATGACTCTTGGGTGATTTGGACTTCAGAGAGTTGCCTGAATCTGTTTGTAAGTATTTGCAATGCAAAAGGGAATCTGTCTGTCTTTGGTGATGTAGGTTACCAGGAGCTTGGGTTTTGCAGTGAGAGGGTGAGATATACAATAGTGGGTGATAATCCAGTGCTGATATAAATCTAGCGATGGGAGATAAAAATCAAAGTGTTCAGAGTGGTGCCTCCATCCCCATTCCATTACTCTCGAGGGAATGGGTCCAGGATGGCAGCGCAGGAGAGACTGATGTTAGGGACTGCAACTTCTTACCTATCTACACATCTCTAAGACTGTCTATTATTTTAAGAATTCATTTAATAGTGAAGGGGTAGAGGAAGGGGTGGAGCATGATGAGAAAAAAGATGTTGGTAAAAAGGTGTGTTTAAGTGCGTTTAGATCATGCAGTGTAGTTTAACTTGCTTTAGAGAGTGAGAGAGATGCTTAGTGTAGGTTCTGAGAGACTTGGAAATTCACTGGTTGAGAGTAAGAACTACTTTGTGCCTGCAAATGGGGTCTTTAGCATTGACTTGACTTTTTTGTGCTATCTAAAACATACGTACATGCGAACATATGGTATAAAACATTTCCCTAGAACCTAGTACTGCATTCTTATACTTTAAATGAGATTTTACATATTTAGATGTTAGTGACACTTGATATTGCTTTTAAAATGGAGTGTATTCACAAATCCTTACTATTTTTGTTTGTTTGTTTGTTTTGTTTTGTTTTCTTCAATTTTAGGATTAAAGAGCCCCTTCAGGACAGTGTAATAGCTACCTATGAAGAACATGAAGATAGCGTATATGCAGTTGAATGGTCCTCAGCAGACCCGTGGCTATTTGCCTCTTTAAGTTATGATGGGAGACTTGTTATTAACAGGGTTCCCAGAGCTCTTAAATATCACATACTGTTATAATTTGTTTGGATTATGATGGAGTTGTTATCTTGATGTACACAACCGGTAGGTATTGTTTAGGGGTTTTTCAGGATCTATTTTTATTAAGTATAGATGTTAAAATTTTGTTAAGAATGTCTGTACTAATATAGACACTTCTAATTTGTTTTTTGTATTTGCCTTGGGGAAACTATGGTGCATTGTCTGAAGGCTGTGCTACGTAGATGATTTTTTTTTTTGAGAGGTTAATCACTTTGTGAACTATAAAGTTTCTGGAGATACTGGGTTCTTTTCCTACTATTGCTTTATTACATCAGCTTTATGCAAATATAATGAATTACAGAAATGTTATTATGCTGATACAGGACTGGGACAATGTAGGGTGCATGTAGCAGAAGTGATCTACTTGTTTACAATAATTATATTTTATATTTCTTATATAAACAGGATTCTGCTCTTAACTAGGGCTACATTCTGTTAACTGTTCTGGCCACAAATACAGTTAGGAATGGTCTTAAAAGGCTTTCTTAACACAGTGTAATAATCTTCCATGTTTGCATGTCTTCAGAAGAAATGTTTTTTGTGATAGTGAAACCTTTTAGAATATATTTTTCATTTAAGCCTTATGGTAGTATCAACAAAGTACCATCCTGTAATTTATGAACTAAATGCAATTCTCAGTTATGTCTTGTTACTGGAAACTAAGTTTGTCTTTACCAAAGTCTGTTATATACTCATGTAATATGTTATCCTATATTTATAGATTTAGTTGTGCTGTGAGGGGTTCTGGAGCTATGCCTTTGTTACCCTGAAAAATCTCTTTAATATTTGCCTACTTAGACTTTCTTTTTGATCCTTCTGGCTCTGTGCCAATCTGCAATATGCTGACATGATGTAGCAGGCTTGCAACTAAGCACAAAATATCCTTTGCTATATCCTACTCTTTGCAATATGTGACCGAGACATTGGTCACTGTCTTGTTACAAATGCTGAGAACAGACAGATGCTGCACTGTAGGAGATCACGCAGGAAATTTGAAATGTAGATGGAAGGCACAGTGAAACACGCCTGTACATACTGACACCCCCCCTCCCCTGGCATAGCTTGCACTCAGATGGAAATTCTGCTGCTTGCTCTTTGTGTACCCAGCCTAACTGCAGCACTAATTATTCCATGTTGCCTTTTCACCACCATTACTTTCCTTTGACTTCAGAACCTGGGTATGTGCAATGGTGTTGGTTGCGGTACCATTGTGTAAGACCACTCTGAAAAAAATGGCAATGAACATGGGATGGAAAGATCAATACCAACCTCTTACAGTGATTCCTTCTGTTGCTATGGCAACTGTTGGTGTTAGTGTTGAGGGACAGCCTGCTGCTCACCTCTGTTTGTCCTTACCCACTCCTGGATCGAAACATGTCCAAATGTGATTTGTTGTGTATACACAGCTGCTTCAGTGAGATCACGCTTCGAGAGTATGACTGACTGGTATAGTCCAAAACAGCCAGAAAAGATGACTGTTGAATTCTATTTCTGGCTTTCTTAAAGAACTTACTTGGAAGAATTCATAGGAGTGAAGTAATCCAATTAAATCATTTGCATTATTGTTTGTATTTGTGTTATGATGTTACCTGTTTGCTCCAGAATTAATGCTTCATTGGAAATTCTGATGGTCTGATTTTCTGTGTTAAGATTTTAAACTTGATCTATTTTGAATTGTTCCAATACGTAATTAGGCATGAGCTATTCACTTGTATACTGTAAGAAAAACTACATTTCCAAATTGATATTGCTTCAGTTGTCTGAATATCGAAATCCTTGGTTGGAGTGCTTTATATGCAGAGCTTTTAATCTTCAGACACAAAGCCTTGTTGGGTGTCGTGTCTGTCCCACCTGTGCACCACCCTCTCCACGCCACCCACCCCAGGAAAAAAAACATATACCTCTGCAGTACACCTTTGGTATGCAGGGAAATTCTTTAAAAATTTTCTTCACATTAGCAATAAAGATCTATTGAAACTTTATTGTCTAGCAATGTATATGGCTTGCAGTGTGAAGGTGACAGGGAAATGGCATAACCCTGTGTGGGGTTTGACTAGATTTTTAACATGTAATAAATGCAGGATAGATTTCAGAGTAATTTTTATGTGGTTTTATTTCCTTTAATATTGTAAGCTTATATGAGCTGAAAAGCTCTCTGAACAAATAATGCCAAGAAATGTTTTCTTTTGTTTTAATTTTGTTAAATGTGTATATTACTCAATAGGGAAGATGAGAGGGGATGAACACTCGAAAGGAAGGGACTAGTAGGTCTAATTTGAATGAAAATGCATTACAGTAGACTCAAGAGAGCAGGAAGGGTCAATTTTTAATCATTTTCAGGTGTCTGTAAAGTGGGATCTGAGCTACATGTACAACACTGGCAGCAATATGGAAATGACCTTCATAAAGGAAAGGCTTTTGACAAGGTTTCATCCCAAGCTGTTAGAGCAAGCAAGCTGCTGTAGGATAGAAGAAAGGGTTCTAAGATGGTTAAATAACTGCTTAAAAGATAGGAAATAGGAAGCAGGAAGAAATTACATTTCCTGGCAAAAAAGAAATTACTGATGAAGTCCACAAGGATCTGTGCCTAGGCATATGTTTCACACGACCTTTTGGAAAAAGGGCTGCATAGAAATACGGCAAAGTTTGCAGAGACTGTTCAGAGTAGTAAATATGACTGAAGAACTATGAAAAGGCCTTGCTTCATGGAGTGGCTAGATGATAAAGTGGTAGATAAAATTCAGTGCAGGAAATGTGAAGTAACTAATATGGGAGAACAGTTATTTTACATTCTGTGGGCCACCAATATATGGCTGTTACTTGGAAGTAAGATCTTGGAGGTTTTGTAGATCTTCTAAAACATCAGATTAATAGAGGTTAAAATTTTAATTAAATAAAATTTTAATTAAATTAAATTTTAATTAAAAAAATGTTGGGAATTACTAGCAAGCAAGTAAAGAAAATAAAACATTATTAATCCCCCAAAATAATACATATATTTATACATCTGTGGTGTATGTGCATCTTGAATGCTGTGTGTAGTTCTGAGTTCTTCCATCTCAAACCCAGTGTAGTAAAACTGGGAAAGATTTTAGAGAAGAGTGACAGGAATGATGAATAGCATGCAACACCTCTATGAGGATAAGTGAATAGACTGAAAGGCAGATGGTTGAGAGGGAATGATAAAAGTCCATAAAATCACAAGTGGCAGAGGGAGAGGATGAATAGGAGTGATTGTTCAATGTCTCTCCTGATACCAGAACTAGAGGTTATTGAATGTAATCTGCATGTGGTGGCTCAAAGCATACAAAATAAGGTGGTCTCCACAGGCATGAAGGTGAGCTCTGGTACTCCTCTTTAACAATCCCTTCCCCCTGCAAAAAAAAAAAAAAAAAAAAACCTACACAAAGAGAAGAAAAAAAATCTCATTAATGTTGAAGTTTACATGACTTGAAAGTAACTGAACCAGTACTTGAAAGATGAATCCATTAAAGGTTGCTAAATATAAAGGCAGCATCTCTGGCTTAGAAGATCTTTTTGAACCGTGAATTGCTGGACACTACAAAGAGTACTGGCAGAGAATCCCTGTGTGCTTGTCCAGTCTTTAATTACCTCCCTGGACATGGGCTATTTGCCAGTAGAGGTAGAAAAAAGAAGTTAACAATAGTCTCTTACATTGCTCCTGCATGTTTCTCTCTGCATGTTTACTTCTGTTGTAAGGTGTGTTTTAGGGAATTTCAGAAAACACTCATATCTCAGGTGAATTTCTTACAGAATCCCAGTGTTGTTTTTGGAAACTATCTTGTTGCAAAATACTCCTTGGCAATAAGACTGTGAAGGCAAGCAGATTTGTGTACAGCAAGGAGTCCATCTCTGCTTTGGAAGTTGAAATCATGGTCTGATTTATCTCACAACTGTGGGTTGTTTCGGTGTATCAGAGAATGCTGTTTATACAGTCACATGTCAGCATTGGTAAGCACAAAATTGTTGTGTTTTCAAACACTTCTTAAATGACTTTTCTTTCTTTACAGACCGTGTCCAGATAAGAAGCTTTAATAGGTCTTGATTTTGAAAAAGTGAGTTATAGTATTCCTTAAAAATGTCATATTGTCAGTCTTGCCATCTAAAAATTTGTTTTATTCCAGGTGCTGAAAATCTTTTGTCACCAATTTAATATATGTGTCTGGTGTAGAATTAAAAAAATGCTTGAAATGTGGTATTTTTATTTCACAGAAAGTGAATTACTGAAGAAGAAAGGAATTGATAATATTTTTTAAAGGTTTTGAGCATGATCTAAGTGAAACTGATCCAAGTCAATACGAGTCTTGGCCATTTAATAAGAAGCTTTAAATAACAATCTGTTTTACTTGAACTAAAATGGTACTAATTTAAAAATTAAAAAAACTTAACAAAAAACCAAAAACACAACCCACCACCAAATGCCAAAAAACAACACCTCTCAATGTGGACCTGAACTTCGCCTGTGGTGTTAGTGCTAAAATTAGCTTGACCTATACTGAAGCCCATGAAGTTAATGGAGAGCTTGTCAACATTAGAATGAATGAAGAACATGTATTGGATGGCTTGGATAGTCTTGATGTTTGCTCTAGACCAGTTGTCCTTACCTTGTACCTTTTTGGTTCACAAAGTTGAATGGAAAGAAGAAACCATGTGATCTGGATCACATACAACACTAAAATTAGTTGAAAGCAGTGCTTTGTAAAGAATTAAGCTTTCAGCACATTTTATTTTTCAACAGACAACAGATAGCATTAGTTCTGTATTTTTCTCTTTATTTGGAATTTCTTAATCTTTCAGCCTGGTACCTCTTGCAGTGTTTGAGACTGAAATTCTGCAGCTAGTTTAAGATGGACTTCAACAGTATCGTCTGCTTGTAGTCTGGCGTGGTAAGACACTACTGGGTAGATACGTCTTTGACATAGCTGTGAAGCAGTGAGAAGTAGGTAACGATAGTTAAGATCAGCATTTGGACGTGAGTTCATAATGCTATAGAGCTTTCATTTGGCTTCACAGAGGATGTCCAGGGTATTTTTTTTTTCTAGAGGATATGAAGAAAGTGCATTAAGTTTTGTTGTGGTACCTGACATATAAGTGTCATTCTGAGGCTGCAGAAAGCCTGTGAAGTGACCGAGAGAAAACTGCAAATCAGTTTTTAACGAAGTCTGGCCTCGCCATAAAGGGGAGCTGTAAGGTGCGAAGCCATGGATACTCTCCAAAACAATTTGCACATTGCTTCTTCTCATTCCACCTGCCACTTTGGTCAGTGAGAAGCTAGTGAAGTGAGAAGAAAATGACACACAGAGATCTGGAGTAAATGACAAAGGAGACAAGAAAGTAAAAGAAAGACTGACAAATACAGAGTGAAAAGTGAATTGAAAAAAGATCAGGGAAATTTGGATCACTTGGAAAAGAGAAATAGGAAAGATGGAAGAAATTGGCAGTAAGTGAAGTAAAGAAAAGGGTACAGAGGTAAGGAGTAAAAAAACCCCAACAATAGTATTTGCTTCTTTTGGCTGTGATATTAAAGGTCCTTGAATTTCTGCCATGTTAATTTTCTGTGTTAACTGATTTAAGCGTTAGAGAATTGCCATTTTATGTTGCAGCATTTTAGTTCTGATATTGAAGATGGTTCATATGGATTAGTTGTTGATCCATAAGTTATTAGTCCAAACATGTATGTTTTAGGGCATTAGGATTTTTAGCAGATATCAGGTTGTCCCTTTCAGTGCAGTTGTCAGATGGAGTAATCAACCTGAGGGAGCAGTAACCTGAGAGGTAGGAAGAAAATTTCGAGTAGGCTGTTAATCTTGAGTCACACTAGTTAAATCTGCAGAAGCATCTGTTTATGACAGACACTGTTTATCCCCCTGTTTATGACTTCAAGGGAGTGTCATAGTCAGAACATCTAAAGATATCGGATGTGATTAATAAAGTATCTGAGGCCCACACTAACTTACCTTACAGAATTCTGAGCTATTCTTGAGAAAACCTGTTTTGACACAACAGCTTTTCGTGCTGTGGCAGCTCCAACTTCGTAAAGGGTTTTAGTGCTCCAGCACAGAAGATAGCTCTGGGGAGAAAGAGATGAATGAGTCTTACTAAATCCAGGAGTCAAGCTCCCGGTGTGGATATGTGTGGCAAGTGGTTGCTGTTGCCCTGGAGCTAGAGCAACAGCTGCCAAGCAGCTGGGCTGAGCAGGGAAGACCTGTAATGTACCTTCTCAGCAAATTGTCCATTTATTCCAATGCTGCCCCGAGTTCAGGATTTTGGCATGAGGACCTATGGAAAAGCTCCTAAACAGAATGAATTGAGGAGAATGTAGAAAACCTTGCAAAACTCAAAGATACCACATCCTAATTGGTAAATCTAGATGAGCTGAATCCTGGGGTGGCAATAGACTTGGCAGACAAATTTGCTGAGCCACTGCCAGTTTCTAAAAATTTGTGAAGGATTCAGAAGACAAGACAGACTGGCAAATAGCAGAAATGGTACTGATATTTGGAGTTATGTGGAACAGCAGTGCATGGAGTTGGATAAGGAAATGTGTTTCAAAGTGAGGAAATTTTAGCCAAATTATGAATGTTTTGTTTGTGTGTTTTTAAGTGAGCTTTTTTTATAAACATCGGTCAAAATACTAGCAAATATCAGAACTTACACGATCTCATTCATGCAGCAAAGTGTGGATTATCCATTTTATTACACGGAATAGCCAGAATTATAGCCCAACAGTTTGTATGATTTCCCTTACAGTGTTCTGTTTTCCAAAGAGGATGGGTGGAATATCATATAGAATGGTAAATTGAACTTGTCTTCAAACACACTTGAAGAAAAAAAACTGCAAGTGTTTTTCATCATTGGAAAGAGTTTCTGTTAAAGCAAGTAATGAACCAATTTTGTCTCTGGCTCGAAAATAGTAGGTGGGGAGAATACCTGGAACTTGACTTTGCAAAGATGGTAAATAAGAATGATCTGTTTTCCAGCATGTAGTTTGTGGAGTAAAGCACTCATTTTAGTACTTCCAGCCATGTCTCAGTATATTCATATCAGCATTTTGAGCAGAAGTTACCTATCTA